CTATTGGGCCCTGAACGTTGCTGATTTTACACTGTTTTCAATGGGGCTTAAATTAGTGGGCAGGACCCTTGTGGTTCAACTCGTCATTCCTTAAGTGAGGCTCATTACTTGGAAAGCGGTTTTACTGTTGAAGGTCAATCCGTGCATTGAACTTAAGTAGCAATACAACATGTGCTATTGTAACATGGTGATAGTTATCATGGGTTGTCTACTGCAAGCAAAGCCAAGGATAGAATCAGCGTTTATGCATACCGGTACCATCAGTATTACAGCCAGAATCCACGATGTCACTGTTGTCAATGCGAAAGACAAAACGCCCTCTGGTGCCGACATTTGAGTCCTTGTCGATGTCGACAATGGCGTCGGTTCTCGATTCAGGAACAACGAAGAAGTTAAAACCGTCACCAGCATTGAACCCAACCTGTATAGGGATTTTGTCTGAGCTTATTAATTCACTGTACATTAGAATATACGCACGGTCGGGCAGTACTGATTTCTTGTTCTCCGGAAGATCAAACAGAAAGATTCAATTGGGAGGGGATTCTCCGACCCCACTCCCCCAAAGCATCTGACTTAAACAAAGTAACAAGAAAATGAACATCTGGGAGTGAGGGCATATCGTTTGTCAAATTCATCTGAACTGAAGGAAGAAGTGTTTACGCGCATAAACACGTGTGAGGTATCACAAACTCCTATGGACGTGAACCGACAGGCAGTCGACCTGTAGCCTAGTGTTTTTCGAACGCAGGGCTTACTGCAGCTGGAGTAGTGTAGTTAGTTGTTTGTAACCAGCCTGATAAAGATGAGCTTGGCGCCATCACTGATGATAAATAGTCAAACAGTGAGGGGAGGTTATACATGTACGACAATGGCGTAATTAAATTTGTGCCCAGAACTTCCGGGATGGGGGGATGAATTGCCCGCCCACGAAGATGTTGAAGGGGGATGCTGGCACTATATGACACTAAGGGTGATATCCATGATACAGATATACGTCTGTAATATGTATTACACTCCTGCAGAACTATTAATAGCATTTAAAAATTATTCTCCAATTTTGAGTGCTATTGAATAGATTTTTTGTTATAGGAAAGTACCAAAAAATTCTTCACAACCCCCCCAATTTTTTTCTCACCGAGAAAATGTGAGGAATGCTTCAATTGCCCGTCTTCCCGTCAAGAAAGGAATACCCCCTCCCCTCGTGATTTACGCCCACTTTTGCAGCGTAATTCGCTTGAGTTGAGGAGCGTCTAACTTTCACGAATTTGCCGCAAGAATGCGAATTTAGTTTTCGCTTTCGCACCCAAGAGTAAACAAGTGTTGAAGTAGTTTTTCCTAATCATTTCTATAATGCTTTGAAAGGTTTTATCTGGCTTTGTCATGTCAAAAGTACTTTTCATTTTAAAGTTACTTGCATATGCTGTATGTCATTTCACGTTTAATAGAGTAATCCATTTCCGTGATTTTAATTTTCAGGAAATCTAAACGATCCTTTCTGCATTTACGACTTATTACATTTATTACTTATTATTTCCTTCTGGTTGACTAATTTTTCGACAAGATATTGACTAAAAGTGTATTTTCCATCTTGTATAGGTTTGTTCAAATGTGGTTTGATATTAGCCATGTGATATGATTACAATTAAGCCTACACCTTAAAAAACTCCAGTTTTATAACAATGACAAATTCTACCTGAGCTTGGGTGCCACCCAGTCCATTTGAACTGTTTCCACCACTTGCTGTGCCGGTAGTCCAACGAATTTCCTCATAGTTATAAATGGCAAAGGCATGTTTTCCATTGGTGACCAGCAAAGCCTGAAATGTGTTCCGCTATTAGGAAACAAATAAAAAAGGGGTTTAAGAGCCACTGCCACAACTTTCTACATATACACTTGCACTTACATCAGCAACAACATTAACAGCTCCAACATGAGTAACAGCAACATAGCGACATCGCCGGCAACAGCAACAATAAAATATTAAGCACCAGTCTTACTATTTGAAGAGCCTCGCCAAAAGCTCCATAGAAAGGTACTTCGTTCCACGTTGCTATGAACATCCAAGATGCCAAAAATCTGGAATGGCCAATAAAAGCCTGCCTGATGATGCTATCTGCCCGGACAAATAATCCTTCACTGCTGGCAGCACGGTGAAGTTCACGATAAGAGACATTACCACCGTGCCTGATGTCAACGTCACCCCAGAACACTGCCACCAATCGCCTGTCACCGTCCAGTGGGAATGGTGACGGGGTAAACTGCGAGACTTCCACAAGGAAAGATAAAACACCATTCGTGTTCACCTGTGAATCAAACAGTAAAATCCAACCTTACAACACATATGTTAAGATAAAGCAAGTGTACCTAGTAATACTAAGAATTACTTTGTTGGACGGATATTTACTTTAATTTCTCTCGTTAACAAATCAGCCCTCGATCAGCTTTAAAGTAGTTTTAGCCCCAAGTAGACTGCAATTTAAAATTACACATTGTTTAATTCCAAAACAATTTGTAGATTAATAAAATTTGATTTGTTTTTCGAAAGAATAACAAGAAATTCATATTCAGGTTAAAAGGCATAATAGGGGAGTAACAAAAAAATTAACAACAAGCTCAAGAAAACAAGGAAAGTGCCGCAGTTTAATCAAAACCTTTGTTTCATCACTGTTTTTGCTTACTTGGTTATTTTTTGATAGACAAACTGCAAAATTGTTTATATAATGAAAGGAAGAATTGAAAGCAGAAACCCTAGTCATTATAGGCGTTTGTGACAAATACTTATGAAGACTGTTGGGGTCATATAATAATTAGATGACATCAGGAAAAAAATTCTACAGGCCTACTTACGAAAAGAGAACCATGATTGTGGTCAAAGAAGGGAAAGTTGAAAGATATTTGGATGCTTCCAGAACTTTCATCATCATTGGGATGAAGATATGAGTCTCCTTCCTCAGCTCCAAATGGCAGTAAAAGTGCTGTTAAATAACACACAGTCATCAACGATAGGATGAAATTATATCCTTCATACATTCCAGTTCACGCTGTCGTTAAGAAGAGAATTTACTTGACTTGGCGATCAATCATTGTGAACAAAAAATAACAAACAACAAAAACAAAATTTCTGCATGCCTCCGTCATTTTTTGTTTTCTGGGGTTAATATTAGCCGGTTAACCACACTGTTATAGTATTCTGTAAGAATTAAGAGTTCTAAATGTATGAAATGTTACAAAAATCCTTTAAATCATTGTAAGAATATAAATATACTTTGAAATGGTATTCAAACAGATTATGTTATTTCCTCTTACCTATTAGTATGGGACGATGTTATATTTTTGACAATAGGTCTTTATTTTGCTAAAGAAGGAAGATTTATATCTTGATAAACTTTACCTTTCCAAGTCGGATTTCATTTAGTAAGATTATTTTATTTGTCAACCTTATGTCGATATCTTCTTAGGTTCTCGGCACTAAAGGATTTGAAGCACATGGTTATTAAAATGCCTGCTAATAAGTTATTGACTTTGGGGTAGCAAGTCACTGATATTACCCTTTCATTTTTTTAATGGAATGTCTCAAAGACAAATACCAAGTACTCTAGAAACAAAGTGACCACTCCTGACATTAGCTGAGGTGAATGAAAGCATCTGATTGAAATTTGGAATGGTGACCGTGGACTGGACCCAGAAGTGAAGTTCTAAACCTTGGACAAATGAAGGAGACGAAAGCAACACGTTCAAATTTCTTCACTTATATTAAACTCTTGCTGTCAACTACAAGTATTTGCAGGCGGTACTTTAGAAATCGCTTCCAACCAGTTCTACTTGGAAGTTGCCATTTGTGTTCGGGAAATACGTGTAATATGGGATATTGCGTAATGCATAATCACATGACTTTGTTCTAGCGGCTTAACCGATGATTTTTGAAGATATTTCTCTCCGAGATGATCACCCCTCAGAACAATCATGATAGCCCATCGTCAGTTTTAAAATAAATACCTAAACTCACTGCAAAACAGAGCGATTTGGAGGGCCTTGTTTTGCCCAATACTTTTAGAAATACAAACTGACAGACCTGCTTCCATCCTTCTCGTTTACAAACCATCCAGTCCACGTACCACGAAATGCTTTAATAAAAATCTGACAAATTGGGTCCGCGAGGCACTTTTGCGTGTATGTACTGGCCTGCTATCTTTATTATGAGCACAAAAGTGTACAGAGCAGTGAACGTGCGCACTCAAAAATCGTATCGCAAAGGACGTCTTGTAACCAAAACTTCAAGAATACTGGAAACTCATATTTCTTTTATAATTTGATAGGCAATTCAAGGTGATATCCTCTACAATTGATTTCAAAGCTTTTATATGAAAAAAAGTTTTTTCATTGTAACTTCCATTCCAGCGACGTCACCCGTTTCAAACTTCGCACATCCGTTGTGCGTATAAAGTTTTTATGGTATCTTCCAACCTTCAGTTACAGCTAACTTCGGCACAGGCATTAACTGAAAATGCATTTTTGAAATTCGTCAACTTGCAGCTCGAGGGCGCTCATTATTTCATGACGTCACTGGTCCACGTTTTGAATTTTTTAAGTTCATAGGCCTACCTGGTTTACATCTCAACCGATCTCAAATAATAAGGCACTTCAGGTTTCGGCCGCTGGTAAGATTCGGCGATTTTACGTACAAGACAAAAAATGAAGACGTAAATTAACTCTATATCGCTTGAATTTCTCCGGATTTATAAATAGTAAAATTACCACGCACATTTTAGATGCTTGCAATTTTACACCTGGTGAAGCCATCATGTTGTCAACCTTGCAAGCACATCTTGGGATTAGGGTTGATGTTCATACTAACTTTCAGGCATATGCGTTGTACCATGTTTAAAAATGGCCCGAAGAATTATTGTCCGCGGCGCGATAAAAAGAGTACGAGAAAAATGGAATCGTACGATTTCAGGTGATTGGGTTGAGTCCCATGACATAAAAACGGAAGGATTAAACAATCACGAATGAAGTGCAAAATATACCTATGAATGTAACAAACAAATTGTGCACCAAATGTACCAGAATGTGGCAATATTCTTTGATAGCTCACTCATCTTATTTACAGTAAGCCTAAGTTGCAAAGTGAATGTGAGGGAAATGCCCTTTAGTATGAATTTGTTCATTCTAAAAATAGAACTGTTAAGTTACAGGTTGCCAAACAATATGTCATGTAATGATTCGATCCAGGGAAACTGAACAAAGAAAGTAAACAGATAAAAAAAGGAAATACTCTTACTCTTTCCACTGACATAGCTTCCAGCGAGGAAAATCACAAAGATGCAGAAGGATTTGCCTTCGAGGAGCCTTACAACACAATTTGCCGACGCCATGTTGCCCACACTTCCCCTTGCAATTGCACACATATTGCAAAGTGGCAGAATCTTTGTGGCACGAACAATAGGGAGAAAAGCATACCAGGTCCTTTTTGACATGCTTTCTGCATGTCAACGGTACCAGCCTTGACTCAATGCCCTTGCTTTTGTTGTAGGAAAGTAGAATAGGAACATATAGAAGCTCAATAAGCCCATTTTCGCTACACTCTCTTCATAACTTTCCGTAGCAAAGGCGGAAATAAGGGGGGGGAAGCCGTTGCAAATAACCATCCCCATGAAGGTGCTACACTAAAACTGCGCGTAAGGACTTCCAAAATTAAAAAAAAAATACTAAGATGTTGGAATCAAAGACACTGCGGTTTTCCTTACTTGAAATGATAATTTGCGACCCATGTGCGTGTTACATTTTGGCACCCATAATATCGATATGTAAACCTTCGACCATGTCCATGTCGGTGGCAAAACACAAGATTTCTCGATAACCTAATATTTCTCAGAAGAGGTGATCCGTGTCGCAGATGTTGTACATATACACTCCGTAGATGGGGCCTCGTTAGCTGAAACCTTGATCCTGGGGTGAAGAAGGGAATGCTGTGGAGATAACTGACGGTATCTCTTCCGGTAAATGCTGTGGTTGAGAGTGTCCTCCTGCTTTCTGCATCAAGGAATGCCATGTTGTTATTCCTTTCTTCTTACATGGTGAATTGGATGCTCTCTTGCTCTTCTTGGAACACTTCAGTGGATTTACCAACGTTCGGAATAGTCTTATGACGACGAACAGAGCATACTGTTGGAAATTTTGAGTTTCCTCTCAGGTTTTTTTCCAGAATCTCACAAACTCACGACGGAGAATTGTACATGGTGCTGCCGCAAAATAATTGTTTTTAGCTTCATCGGGCAAACCATAAAATCTTGTATCCGCCATCAATATAAGAAACACACTGAAACCACGTGTGACATAAGCAAGATATGTTCACCCTATAAGCATGGAGAAATTTTTTTTAAATGAATGTATTTTATTCCTGCAAGCCTAGAATATAATCTCTGCCCTCAACGAACAGCTCACCTTATTGACTGGGATAGAATTCGAACTGGACACTAGTCTTATTCCTGCTCCCATGTTAATGGCTCCTAAGCAAAGACCATGATAATGTGTAGCTGGAAAGGGTTGCAATTGAAACATGATGTAGTAATGTGTTTATGTCTATTTGTTTAGCAAAAAATATACAAAACCCCGACATGTTTCTTTCTTATTTCAAAGTGAGTAGCATTTTAAGTCGGCAAGGAAGTGCCGTGAAGACCAATAAGTCAGCGTGCAAGAGTGGTGGAGAATGTAGTCGGCAAATGAGCGCCGTGAAAATTAATTCTCAAGAGCTGGGAAGATTTAAGTCGGCAAAGAAGTGCCGTGAAAATAATTATAGCTACCGAAGAAGTACAAGTCGGCAGTTGTGAAGCCCCTCGCCATTTTGAAATATCGATGCCCACGCTTCTCGAAAAATAGACACCGTTTCAGGCACCGAATCCCATTCAGCCGCAAACTAGTACTCTCTTTGTCCGCCTAAACCTGTCATTTTTTCTTCACGTTCGCGGGCCACATGTCACAAAATGCTCTACGTAGAGAATTAGAGTGCATACAAATTGTGATTTGGCTTGTGCAAGCAATTTTCAGCCTATTTACTGGCCTGCATCAGAACGCAAGTTGATTGTCACCTCTAGAAAAGTGATTCTTTATTCGAATGGTGAGAACGCAAAGCGTCCGAGCTATGTACATTTGAATATGCATAAATGCTTTACTCCTGGCCCAAGCTGTTAATTGTGCAACTCTCGAGCTGGGTGCCAGCTAGTTGTTTCCTATTCCCACATTTGAAGCGAGATATGGGACGGAGAGAACCCCCCCGCCTTTGTGTTGGTCATTGTTTGATTGGAATCTCAGGAATTCTTCACAGATTTCTAGGGGGGATGTGTTAGGTAACAATATTCTAGAGTGTGTATGGGGATTGGACAGGTAAGGGGGGTACCCCCCTCCGTCCCATATCTTGCCTGGTATACATTCACATGCACATTACAGTGCTTGCACTCACATACCATCAGCAACATCAGTGTATCAGAGAAGGTACACACTGCCTTCATTACCCTCAGTCGAAATGGATTTCAGTGTATAAGTTGGCTGTGGAAGTATGCTTGATTCAAGTCATCAAATGCTATCCGACTCTATGGAGTTGGGGATTTTGCACTACCAAAAAGCAAGTTCTGGAACTATTTTGGGACCATAGTCCACTGTTTCTTCAAATGAAGACCACGTCTCCAACCTTGGAATTAAATGCTCATTCGTCGAAATCCCTCGGCCACCGAAGGAAATTGTTTCGTTTGGAAAATTCATACATTTGGATTACAAGCAAGGGTAGGTAAGCTTCTGCACAATTTATCTCTTCTAAGTTATACATGAATCGTTATTTTGAAAACATATTTACTTGTTAAATTAACAGTGGAAGAGGGAAACTGAGGTTAAATTGAAGTAAATTGGCCAAATTTGATTTTGAAAAATACAAAAACACATTATAAAAAATTCTACGCTACAATTAACATTTAAATAAGTAGAATTTAAATAAGTTAACTGTATCCATTCTTACTACGTACAGTTTACTGTCCATTCTTCAGAATAATCGACACTTCTCTACACAAGTGACGGCACAAGCCTGAGTGGTTTAACAGCTTATGATCAGATAGAAGCTTTTTGAACGCTTCCGTATTTCGATATCAGGGTGCAGGTAAACAAAACGAGAAATTAAACAAATGCAGGATGAAAAGATGGTTGCATGTACACGAATCCTGAGGAGAGAACTGTGACGTGACAGGGGGCCCTAGTCACTAGGCGCGGTGCGAAGATATAGATGGCACTCTGCCCAGTAATGGGTAGATCACTGATCAGTGGGGCAGACGTTAGGCGCGCATAGCTGTGTGTTCAGTAAGCGCGGTGCATAGGCTCCGCGTGGCGCGTGGGGCGATTGGCTAACGGCATTGATCTCCATTATATAGACTGGATAGGACATTGCGCATAATGTTAACGTGTTTTGTGTGTGTTTGTTTTTAATTCTTTTTTTACACCTATTGTCTACGGTCTCGCTTTGGTAATATTTTTACTTTGGGTCGGTTCAATTGTGATTTGTTCAGAGTGTAAAACCTTGAGAATTCCACCAGGACATGCAATAGGTTTTGTCAGTAAATATGATGTCCAAACTGTCCATGTGTTTTTCCGTCTGGTTTCGATGAGCCAACACTGAAAAAATCTTCAATAAAATGATTTTGATTTTACACACTCTCAGGAAAAATTGTACTAGAGGAAATTCATTCATTTATTGAGTAAATTTTATTGAAAACCGACATGCGGCATACGGAAGTGTGAGAATCTTTTCTGTGAGCACAAAGTGAGCGCTGCTTCAAATGAGCGACCAAACTAACTTAGGCCTACTGCCGTTTTTAAAACAGACACTTATTAATCAGCTTTAAAAGTTCAGTTCACAACCTGACTTTAAGGTTTACATTTAACAACTACTTCCTGGTATAACAAAGTCAGTTTTAACTGAGAACCAATCATTTTGTTACGTGGACTAAGTTTCTTTCATTGCGTTGACTTTGAATTCCCTTGTTTGTAACCTCATTCAACAGAAACGTCAGCACTCTGCTTCTCACTTTGGATTCACCTCTGCCCCCGAAGAAGAATTCTGTCACTCATATCACATCGTCTGTCACACAATTTGGGTTCAGTGCGTCTTTAGATCCGGCAAACACAAATCCTACCTGCCTTGCAGATTTTTCCCGTGAAATCTGGGGAAAATAAACGACAAATTAGTCAGTCAGTTTTTGAAACCACTTTTGCAAATGGTTAACGGACATTGATCTCCAGAGATCAGTGTTAACGGAAGTCACTGCCTGGTCACATGTAGCGCGCGCGGGGGCGTAGTTGCAGCAGCGGCCTGCTTGCAAACCATGGATCTGATAATGGAGATCTATGTTGCAAAACTACCAATATGGAATAAGTTTATGCGGTAAAAAAAAACTCAAATGATTCTTTGAGAGGTGAACTTTTGCCTGAACAAAGTAGTTAAAATTAATACAGTGATTAATTAGCCAAGGTTAATTACTAAAGATGCGCGTCCGTTCGTGAAATCGAAAATCCACGTTTTCTTTCTTTTTGGTGCTTTTGTGCAACGCATTTTTCCAAAGGGCCTAAAGGCACACGTGATCACGGGCGCCATTTGTAAATGTAACAAAGATGTGTGGCTCTTTGTTAAAACCCAAACCAAAATACTATACTTGACCTACTTTTCAGCCTTTCCATTCAATGCATTTTGTACGTGTTCGAGGGGCAGTAAGGTTTGTGTCTCTTTGTGAAAATGCACTTATCGAGATTTTTGGTCCTCAATAACAGCATGAATGTAATCGAGAGATGCTGTATATTTTTTGTTTTGTGTGGCTCTTCGTGAAAAAGGGTGAAAAATTGTCCCAATGATGTTGAAGGAGGTTGCATTTTCAATTTGTATTTAGTAATGCTTGTAGTATTATCAGGTGTCTTGATATCTTGTCGAAATTTTTATCACTTTTTCGCGAGCTGCTAAGCAAATGCGAGCCTATGTAATACCGATTTCCGTTTTCTCTCCGTCCGTCCGGCCATCCAGCCTCAAATGTCAAAGTTTTTCCTTGTAGGTCCATAGGTGTTAAAATGTGCCATTGAGTGCTTGTTTGCTTCCTCTTGAAATTCTATCAGTATTTATATAATTTTTATAGTCTCATATGGGACATTAATGCTTAGCAGCGTAGTTTATGAATTTAATGACAAAATTATAAACGTTAAATGTTAACGTTTTGAGTTGTATTCCGCACTACCCTGTAGTACATACATGTATATATATGTACCTACATGTAAACATATGTACATATGTACATGTATAGACAGTGTTTAGATACATACAAATATACTGTGGATTAGAATCAACCCGATGCCCTGAAAGATAAAAAGACTGAGATGGGTGACACGGGAACTGAGTCCAGCTTCAACACCTTCAGAAGTCGGTGGAGATACGCTAGCAACTGTTAACTGATATCTGATAAATTAAGTGATAGGATGGAGACGAACAAGGCTAACAAGGTTTCCAGAACAAGGTCAACAATCTTGGTCTCAACATGTCAGGGCACAGAGCTAAATTCAAAGTTCTGTTACCAGGCGATGGCAACACATGACGGGTGAACGGCCAGTCTGGCGACAGTGTGGAAGATTTCCTGTATCCTGGATGGACTCTCTCCAACATTGAGTTGGTCTCACTCCATCATCTTCACAAGCTCTCGGACAAAACACTGAGTATACAGTGTTATAAATATACGTCAGTGCAGGGGCAAAACGTGTTATTAAACATAAACATATACATGTATATATCCCAGACACAAACTACAAAGTGTAATACTTTGCAGTACCCGCTGATACATCTGACTCAGAACGACCTGCCGACTCTCGCAAGCTCGGTGGTCCAGTAGTTAAGATGTCTGCACCGGTAGGTCGCGAGTTTGAGTACCACGNCGAGTAAACTTGTTATTTTTTTTCGCAAGCTCTCGGAAAAACATCTCACTGCATTTGAAAGCACCTGCTTCCATGCAGGACATCGGAAGCTGCAAAGACAGACCCCATCGGACCTGAAATTCAGCAAGTGATTCAAGATACCTTGCCGTACAACAAAAACAAACTGATCAAAGAACTTTTGGTGATGGAGTTGATATCCATTATATAGAAACGATTGCAACAAACGCACTTTTAAAATGAAATTACAAAATCAGTGGATTGTTTGCAATTCTACGAATTGGTCGTCTTGAAATTCTTCAGACTGTGTCAATGGACAACTTTATCATTCGACAACACATTATATCAATGGTGGTAATTCCTTGATTCTTTTGAGGAGTTTTGGGCGGGGGTGGCAAAAATTGGAAAACTTTCCACCTTCTTGGCCCGTAAATTTCTTTTTCAAAGTTTATCCCATTTTCAAATGAAATAAATTTCATCCTTGGAAACAATGTCCAATGATTCAAAAAGGGGACCCAGACAAGCCGTTTTTTTTTCAAAGGATTTTTCTACGTGCATTGGGGAGCATAATGTTAACCGTGCCAAGTTAAATCTGTTCAAAATTGAAGATTGTCTTACAATATAACCACGAAACCCCACACAATTGAGTTTTTGGTTCAGTTTCAGTGGCGTGAATCCGTGCGGGCGAGCAGGAGGAGACATTAGATTGGGGCGGACAAAATCATCACACTGCGGCAGGGGGCTGATAGCTGGAAATCAATTCAAGTAACGACGTTTCTATATTTCATTAATTTTATCGCTTATTGCTTTTTGTGTGTTGACAGTGCCAAGAAGTGCCAAAAAATAACACCCCTAACACCCATTGGACAAAGATTATGGTGAGGGGCTGGCTTGTTCTTGCCTAAGATCTCTACTACGAAACTCTTGTTGACTTCCAAAGTTAAATTCTACCCTTGCTAAAGCGGTATTGAAACTTTCCATTAAGCTGACTGATGAGACGTATGAATTACTGGAGGGGGTACTTTTAGAGGGAAAAAACGACCTAGAGAAGACTAAGTGTCATCATTGTCGCTGCTGGTGTCAGACACCGAGCTGTTCGAACTTGACCCTTCAAGAAATTCCTCGAGGGTCTGTAGATTCTGTGCCATTTGGATCATAGTCTCCTCCGCGTGCTTGACGTCGAAGTCCTCACCAGCAGTCTCATTCTGACCCTCGCGGCCTTCCGAAATGGGTGTCATGGCATCTGAGGCTGCCTCTAGTGCTCTGGCGAACGACAGTGCCAGCGATCCGTGGTCGACTGATCGCCTGCGGATTACTCGGGACCTGGCGGCGCCGGGACTTATCGAAGCACGACCCGAGTAGCCGCTGGGAGTCAAGGACGAACGCCGTTGAGTAGCTGGGAACTGAACAGACGGTCTTCTTGGTGAGACCAGACCGTGATCTGTTCTCGGTGAACAGAGTGCATCATCTGGAGTAGTTGCCAGTTCGCTTCTATCAGTACTATCGAGTGGTGATCCCTCATCATCGTCTTCGTCGCTACTGACGACGACATGAAGTACAGGGAAGACATTCATGTGCACGTGCTCCCCTCCTGTACCTTCCAGCTTGATCATGCCAGTTAGGTAGTCAGTCGTCACGATGGAGTGCCGGCGTGTCTCCGTCTGCACTTGGGTGGTATCTTTCTCCTCTGCCTCTGTACACCTCTGCATAAGGAGCGGGAAGAGGTCACGGTAACCCAGCGCACCCCCACTGGCGATGGTGCTGAAGGGCTTGTCGGCCCAGTCGTCGATGTCAACTGGGTACTCGATGGGGAGAATCGGTAGTCCACCGTCTGTTGGGTCCATGCAGGTGCACCTTGGGGCAAGTGGGCGACGAAGAGCCTTAAAAGTAGACGTATCGTCCCTAAATACGGGTTGAGCGGCTGCTCTACGACAAAACTGGCACGATTGCTTCACCTCTGGGCCTTCATCTTGGCTCTCCCCCTCTGTGGATGCTCGGAGCGGTTTCTCCTCGGTGCGTTGACGTTGCGCCGATAGGAATTCCTCTCTCGCTGCTTCTTTTCTTCGCCTCTCCGCTCGATGTTGGATGTAATCGAGCTCCATGAAGTGCCTGGAATCAAAGAATCCGTCATTTGGCGTGTTACGTCCGGATTGAGGTGGATGCTGCACCGCTCTATTCATGATGTTCAGAATCTTACATCTGCTGCAGGTTTAGTTAGATTATTTAACCACTATATCTAATTACTCAGTCCATCAAGACAACGCACCAGCAATACATGTATAAGTGAGTTTACGTAAGTTAATCAGTTGCCATGGCCGGCGCGGTTTCCAGGATGTCAGCTTTTGTCTTTGTGACGACAGTGAATAAAAGCGCGCCTTGTATTCTGTTGCGTCTCATCCATGCACCAAACTATACTTGCGATACAAAAGATCATTTTTTTTGTACCGAGAGTGCACCTGTTTCACTGAGCGTCGAGCAGCAGTGTAAACTAGTCATTTTGAAGAGATACATTTGTTAATCATCAGGGTAACAAGTGTTAGGTCATCGGGGTGAAAGAACTAGCCGTGGCCTGAATCTGTGTACGGACAGCAATATCTGAACAGACCCCAGTTAAAACAATCCGTAAGCGCATTGGCTACGCGGGCGTTCAGTGTCCGAGTCACTCCCATCCGACGAGATATTTGCTTCCACGCACCATCTTCCCTCAAGTTGCAGACATGCTGTGACCAGGGGTGGGACCAGAGCTTTAAATGCATGGAATATACAGGTAGGCCTATGCTGTAATTTTGACACCATAATTCGACAATGGGCGAACACACAGTCGCCACGAGAGGTTTTTCACATGACGTAACACTACGGGCAAAGACATTTCGGGAAGCGTACTATATCTGTGGAGGCGCGTGCATTTTCGATCTTTGTTTCTACCAAAAATAGTATAATGCCGCTGGGCGGCGCTCTACTATCTTTGGTTTCTAATGGCAATTTTATGAACGCCGGAAATGTTGAGAGACTTCGAAGGTGCACACGTTACCTCGTAGATCTGTCAAAGATAGTGTACCGAATGTGACGTCACGTGCACAATTAGTGTGTAAAGGCAATTAGCCTTTAATTAAAACTTACCAACCACAAAGTTACTACATTCAGCAATGCCAGTTCACAACTTCATTAAAAACGGAAGCAAAATCTCCAGCTCTTTGGTATGGTATTTTATTTTACATGTTAGTAGTACATTTAGCCTACTATGGAGGGGCTGTTCCCATTTCCATTCAATCCCCACATTTTATCTTGCAAAAGCATAGAAAGAGATTGTGTGTTTTGAGTCCTAAACCGCAAGAACCACAGATTAGGCAGATAAGTGCAACTTAGAATCACAGCCAACACTGACAGCAAATCTACGATTCAATATGCTTTTTTTTTTTTTGCTTTGGTGCTGGATTTCGTTATTTTGGGGAAAGGGAAATTGTGATTGCAGCATAATTCCGTTGGTAACAGATTGACTTACTGGAATGGAATTCTACCAAGTCTAGTCTATTAGATGGTAGTGACAAAAGTATGGACCTATGCTCCTGTGCCTCTTGGGGGAGGTTGGGTTGGGTTGGACGTTTCCCCTATCAACAAGATTTCTTTTGAAATTTAGATTTTGCAAGGATCAAGCAAAGCTATGCCTTGCCAGGGTAATAGATTGACACCTTTGCAACCGCCGTGTTTGAGTACATAATGTGAAATAACAAAATTCTGAAGTTGGCAAATAAAAAGAAATCGTGAATGAAATATATTTTTCAGATAAGGCCTTCCTCAGGGAATAAATATGTGCTCAGAAAACTGGACCCGATTAATGCCCGAGCCATAGATGAATGCATTACCAGTGTTCAATCGCCTATCACCACTATCCATACAGCACATATTTATTCATAAACACATTTGAGTCAGAAAGTTATAACAACTTGAAACTTTACAAATTTCCGAGGAGTTTTTCAACAATTTTATTTCAATCTTTTAAACCCCCCTCACACCAACCTCGTTTCCATGGGTGCGATCTTGCAGCGCCATGTTGGTTCCCACCATGCCTTGCAATCTGGTGAAGGAACCACTGATCAGTGCTGATGTCTATAATCTGGTGATTATCATAATCTCTATAATTTTATCAAAGAGATCAGTAGAAGCAACGTGCACGCAGCCCATGAAGTCGAGGTTGCTCTCAAGCAAAGAGTCATAAACAATCTCCTTGCTGTATGAGGTGGCTTGCATGACCATCCCACAGTGGGCCAGCCCCATAGAGCTACACTTAACAGCATTAATCATACTCTCTATAAATTTGAGGTTTTTGTGTTTTTCTAACTTTAAAGTGGGCACATAATATTTGGGCGGAAATACCCCATAACAGCATTTCATACTCGAGCTTAAACAGCAATGTTATACACATAAAGTAAATACCAAAGTAAGTTACACCTGCATAATTATAACTTAGTTTTGATTTGACAACTTGTAAAATGGACACGTTTGAAATCATACCCCATCCTCTTAAAATTGGACAAAGCGGAGGGGGAGGGGGTTGAGGAGCCTAAATGGGGAACTGAGGACATACAATCAAATACAACTGGTTTGCACACACTCATGCCTTGTACATATAGTTACCTGTCACAAACATTTAAGTTCTTGATTTCCCGTTTGAACAAATTTATTCCTTCAGACTCTGAATGACTTAAATGTTGACCTTCCTTTCCTACTGACACCCCAATCAGCCAATTGTGGGCACAGGAATTTGTATTTTTAACTTCTTGCTTTCCCTTAAATATGGCATGTGAAAGAGAGAATTACTTCAATTTCCACCCGTGGAACTGGAAGATGATGCCTATTCCCCCAGGGGAGTTCACTTTCAGTATCTGATCTTGATTCAGTATCACTAGCATGGGTAACTTGTGTCAGTGACAACAAATCAAAACCCAGATCTAAGTCTCACCTTCCCAAAAGGAACATCTTGAATCATCTTCAGTTTTCTTGGCACAAAAAGACTGAGAGTACGTCTACTTATTTCCCCTGGGACGGGATGCAAGTCTACCATAGGTTGCTCACCAGAAAAAAAATGTGCCAATTCATACTTGTAGGTGGACAGAGACAAGCAGGGGTGAAGCGATGAAGTGACCTTTCCAAGGCCACGACCTATGGCCAGCAGCTAGATGCAAACCTGTGACCCTCTTCTCATAAGTCATGAACCCTAACAACCAGGCCTATTCCCCATATTTCTGTATAACTGGGAGGAACTTGTCAGACAAGTCTCTCTGTAGAGTGCAGTGAAACAGAAAAAACTGGATCACAGGATCAAGTCTGCAAAACAAGCTTAATGCAGACCTGGATTCAGAACTCTTCCTGAAGAACTCTTGGAAGTCCTGCCTGATATAAAATGACATGTTCCCTCTTCCTCCAGGGCCATTTACAAGCAGAGCTTTCCCACGATGAAAAAGATTCTGACAGTCCTGGCTGACAAAGGGTCCTCAAGTCTTGATGAGGAGTTCCACTTCCTCCAGGGGGGCGCGGATGCGGAGCTCCTTCTCCATAAGAAGGTCCTGATAATCTTGCAGCTTGGAAGGAAAATATCTGACTGCATCCATGTACAGAACCTAATATTTAAAGAAAGTGTTGCCATGCAATAAAAGAGGACAATTACGAGTAGAATGCTGGAATGTACCTTCTGTATCACAAGTACCAAATTTGTCTCAGTATACAGTAGTACATACTGACAATATCTGTATCATTTTCACAATCTACTTGGTAACATTTGAGAAGGAAGTCTGTCGCTGTATCTGATATTTAGCCAAAATTGTGAAGATGGCGGAGTACCTTGAGTTACACTGCCAGATACATGTGTATACCTCAAATGTAAAAATTTGGCTTCAATAGGTCTGTATAATTAGTTAGGAATTAGCTACTTGCCTTATTTGGAGAGGTAACTGCTCACATATTGCTGAAGTTAATTGTCTTTATTCACTATGGCATCAACTCTTAGGTTTTTCAGACTTTTCAAAGCATATTCTTCAATAAAGCAATAAATGTGTACTTTGCCGGTCATAAATGTTAGGAATAGCTAAACTTTCTTCGGTATTTATGGATTTATTTTGAGGAGGTACATGTTCTTTGTAAAATCAGACATTACCATTGGCTGTCATTATGAATGCCAAGACACCAGCTTGGTGAACATGACATCAAAGCACTGGCCCTTTTAGTATGCTAACAGGTTTCACAGTTTGGTTATCAAACCAACAGCAATGATGGTCCAATGACTCAACAAGAGGGAAGGTCACGAAATGTTTGTCCCTTCTAGGCACTTCCTCTTGTGCCATATCTTCATATCTCTCCCATTGCTAAACATTTTTGGTAAGAACTATCATGAGGATCCAATTTTTAAACAAACAAACAAACAAACACCCCAACACCCCAACAAACAAACAAACAACCCAACAAACAACCCAACAAACAAACAAACAAACATCATTTTACCAACCTTGGCCCACGGACAGTGCTGTAAGGCATTGTAAAAAATGGATTCAGCCCGCTTCAAGTTGCCTTGCTGAACCTGAAGACAGAAACAAGTGTCAATTTCAAGATCAAAGTAAAGGAAGGAGGGCATTACAATACAGACACACTAAAACACTGTTTTTCTTGAAATAATTTTACTAAGCAACATGAAAGGGTCCATGTAAAGCAAATAGTTTGCTACAACCTTTTAAAATCCACCTGTTTCAATTTACCTTATTTTAATTTTTTTTTAAATGCTATTTTAACAGGTATTTGGTGCCTTTTTGGGGGGGTTTAATGGTAATACAAATTTCCGTATTTGTGATCAAAAGGGTGCTCCCTCCTTGGAAGAAAACCTCAGTATTGCATTGATTTAAACACAAAAGATGTTAGTGTGTTTTTTATATTTACAGTCCTAAAGCACCTTTCCTTTAGTGATTGTATTGTCCTGTAAGTACATAGTAATAAGCTGGCAAGTGACCCTCTCTCAGAAATGCTTTCAATTAGCATATTTTGGGTTCACTTTTCAAACAGTGAAACAGTTAAATTGAACTGTCTTGCCTGAATGACATCACGGCAACAGCGTCCTCTGTTATCTAGAAAAGCTTGAGCAATTTTAAATGTTTAGAACAGTGCACATTATAAG